CTACTCCTGTTTCAAAGCAGAGTAAATCAAAGCACATTAGGGAATGTTTAGCACCCAGCCCCAGACTTGTATGGACTTATACAGACAAGCCCTGAGTTGTTCAACAGTGATCCAAGTATGACGATCTCACAGAATACCTAGCTCTTCAGCATCAAACTCATCCCATAAATTTTAAAGTCCCATCACCCACCTGTCTTTAAATGCTTTTTTAAAAAGTTGACATTTTTGGTTAATATGCATTTCATTTTGCAAACATTTCATAACAAAAAACCCAATCTAGCTTTGCAATCAGCTGTGTTGATATTCTTCCTGGCAGGCACCTCAATGGGAGTGAACTGGCTGCATGACAACTTAAGATTTCCTTGTGGAATGGGGAGCAGATGACGTCATTAAAAGAATCATACCACTGTTATTTCTGAAGTGTAGCTGAAGAATTCTGCTCTCACCTGGATGGCCGAAACTCACATCTTTCATTTGGGCCAATGCGCTTGTTATGCAACATTCTTCAAAAACAAAAAACAGCAGCAGCAACTGATCACAGTAAAAAAAAATGGTGCCCATGCTCTCATAGCTTTGTGAATTAGCATAAGATTAATGCCAGTAATTGGCCCGCTTATTTGTCCATTGCAAAAGGTGCATAAAAGAGTAGCTGTCGTTAAGTTGCAAAAATAAAGAAGTGAACACTTAGACTCTGGCATCATAAATTAAATGCATCTCTGCTTAAGCAGCACCAAGAAAGGCAAGATTAGTATCGGCAAAAGGAAAACAGGGATCATCACTCACTGTGATAAGTGAAAATCTAATTTATCTAGTCCAGCCAACTTTAGAGTCCCATGATATGCCAAGAGGAATAAAAGCTAACTGAAAAGGGGGAATTGTGATGCAAGATGGTTTGAAATTAAACACATCAGCAAAATGGACTGCAAGCTTTAATTTCCCAAATCAAAATGCTTCACGATGATGGAACTTTAATGGCATTTGGGTTTTTATTCCCCTTTTCAGAGACTGTTTTAAATATGGTCTGGTCATCATCACAGAAGGATGATTAATGAGGTGTTAAATATTTTAAACTTGTTAAAGTGGGCTTGTTAACCAATCTGCATCTCATTCCATTCCCTGAATCATTCATGAAAGGCACATTTCTTCAGGATTTCACTGATTACAGTCAAACATGAATAGATTTATTAATGATCTGGATGATGGGATGAATTGCACCCTTAGCAAGTTCGCAGATGACACTAAAGTGGGGGGGAGGTAGATACGCTGGGGGGTAGGGATAGGGTCCAGAGTGACCTACACAAATTGGAGGATTGGGCCAAAAGAAATCTGATGAGGTTCAACAAGGACAAGTGCAGAGTCCTGCACTTAGGAAGGAAGAATCCCAGGCATTGCTACAGGCTGGGGACCAACTGGCTAAGCAGCAGTTCTGCAGAAAAGGACCTGGGGATTACAGTGGATGAGATGCTGGATATGAGTCAGCAGTGTGCCCTTGTTGCCAAGCAGGCCAATGGCATATTCGGCTGTATTAGTAGGAGCAGTGCCAGCAGATCGAGGGACGTGATTATTCCCCTCTATTTGGCATTGGTGAAGCCACACCTGGAGTATTGCGTCCAGTTTTGGTCCCCCCACTACAGAAGGGATGTGGACAAATTGGAGAGAGTCCAGCGGAGGGCAATGAAAATGATTAGGGAGCTGGGGCACATGACTTATGAGGAGAGGCTGAGGGAACTGGGGTTATTTAGTCTGCAGAAGACAAGAGTGAGCAGGGATTTGATAGCAGCCTTCAACTACCTGAAGGGGGGTTCCAAAGAGGATGGAGCTCAGCTGTTCTCAGTGGTGGCAGATGACAGAACAAGAAGCAATGGTCTCAAGTTGCAGTGGGGGAGGTCTAGGTTGGATATTAGGAAACACTATTTCACTAGGAGGGTGGTGAAGCACTGGAATGGGTTACCTAGGGAGGTGGTGGAATCTACATCCTTAGAGGTTTTTAAGGCTTGACAAAGGCCTGGCTGAGTTTATTTAGTTCCTGTTGGTCCTGCTTTGAGCAGGGAATTGGACTAGATGACCTCCTGAGGTCTCTTCCAACCCTAATATTCTATGATTATTAACCAATTCACCTTTTTCACTGCAGCCTGTTTTTGTTTTTGTTTTTTCAAATTTGCTTCATTTTGTTAGAGGTAAGTAAAGCAATATTTTTTTAATGCTAAGTGCCACTTTCCTACTTTTCAGTTTTATTATTGCTAAATGGACTTCGTGTAAATATTGAATTTGGGGGTTGCAAAAGGAATAAATGGAGTGGAAGTTAAGATCTGGACATGCCAGAGAACATAAAGCTTAACAACTGACCAGGATTGCCATCTGGTGAGGCAGTAGAGTCATTTAAGTGTCTTTATTGTTTTTAAGCAAACCTATAAAACTAGACATAAGTGTTACTCTTAAAAGAAAATCAGATTAGGGATTGATGAGATGCTTTATAAATGTCTAGGGAGCAACGATTTGTTATATTACAGGGTGCCAATCCTGCAATCAGATCTATGCAGGCCGAACACTGTGCCAATGCAGAGCCCACCGAAGTTAATTCACCTGCCAATGTTAGCAAGGTGCACATCTGACTGCAAGATTGGGGCCTCAAGTTAATAGAACAACATGCTATAACTTATAGTTGGTGCTAGTAGCACCTACAATAAGCTACTATTGCAAAAGCATTTTCATCCATAACCTCATGTCTTCACAAACTGAAGCATTCACCTTTGGGGCTGAACATTTTCTTTTGAAGTAGGTTTCCGGTTTAAAGTAATTTTGCTTAGTTTAATTTTAAACAAAATCCCTTCAGATGTTTTTGAGTTATGGGACAGTAAATAAAACCAAAAACACTTTTCCCACTGTAAGTTAAAGGCATCAGGGGCAAGTTCTTGCCCTAGTTACTCCAGTGTAAGTCTTGCAGTGCTTCCAGCCTCATAGCATGTTGCACAATTGTTGTTACGGAGTGTGGGATACCCCGCAGCTCCCAGAAGAATTGTGGGAGCAAGGGCCAATCACCTCACTGCCTTCAGATTTACATCAATTTAAGCTAGGGCAGAATCTGGCACTATTACTTTAAAATTGTACCAAAAGCTTCTAATAGAATAATTAATTTTCCCTAAACGCATGTAGCTATGTTGGCTGACCAATGAAGCTGTCATGAGGCTACTTGCTACCCTGCTTTGCAATGGGCCTCTTTGATATACAAGAGCAGCACTAAGTTTGAAGAGCTTCATTCCATTATATTTGAGCAAACTGCAATGCTATTCTAGAAGCTGCCAGTGTAGCTTGAGTGGCAACTTGTGATGTGGGCAAGGCCATATGGGTCTTAGTTCAATAGGGCTTTGCTTTCTGAGACGCAGAGGTGGAGCTGCACAAAGAGTTATTCTGCTTACAGTACATGCTTTAATAAAGCCACCTGAAAGCTATAGTTTCATTATTAAACATTGACATAAGATCCAAGGGCCCAAGTCTCTCCTCTTTCAAGGTAAGTACAGGTGTAAATTCAAGTTAATTGCACCAAAATTATCAGTGACCTTGTGAAAAGAGGCTACAGGATACATTCCACATACCCACTAGCGGCTCCCCCACCCAACACTACACAAGCTGACCAGCTGAAATTAGTGATCTGGCCTGGCAATGAGTAGAGGAGTCTTGGTACCATCAATTTACATCACACCTTCCTCTATGGAAAGGACCATAACTGATGAGAAAAATCACTGCATGAGTTAAAGCTGAATGTTTCGGCCCTAGGATCCGCATTGAGTAGCATAGTGAGGAGCATTAACTCTCTCAATGGTTTCTACACTTTAGAGGAGATGGGGACTTGTGGACAGTCCCAGGTAGGGGGAGAGCATAACCAAGGTGTCAATGCTAAGAGGAGATGAGAGCCAAGTGTCAGGCAGCTGCTGTATGCAGATCTCCTGAGATCCAAAGGGTTTCCTTGTGGATCCTCAAGCAGACCATATTATCTGCCACTCCTGCACTCCCACAATACACACATCAGCCCTATCTCCAAGAGGAATGAATGTGGTGAATTTATCTGCAGGCAAAAGCCAGGTATATTTTCAGCCAAGTCCTTCTCTACCATGTTTACTTATGAATGAGTGAGGATGTAAGTCTTTTTCATGAGAAATGGGATCAAAGAAAAAAACTACATTAAATAAATACAAAATAGGAGATAAAGACTAAAACCTCATGTATGCTTAAAAATTAGATCAACCTAGCTATGTTGCTCAGGGCTATGAAAAATTTCATGCCCCAAGCACTGTAGTTAGGATAATCTAATTCTCAGAGTAGACACAGCTATATCAATGGAAGAATTCTTCTCTTGACCTAACTACCGTCTCTCAGAGAGATGAATTAATTTAATCAACAGAAAACCCCCTGCATTGATGAGTCTACACTATAGCATTGTAGTAGCATAGCTGCAGCGCAGATGTGCCCTAAGAGTTAAACGACCATTAAGAACTGACCACGTGGAAGATGTTATAGAAAAATACAACTAAAATTAGTCAAACAGCCTTCTTCAATCAGAATCAATTGCAGTTTTCCCCATTAATTTAATTGGAGCAGGATCAGCTTCTCATTATATTAAAGAAAAAAAATAGTGAAAGCATTTTGAGATTAAATAAATACACCAATTACTTATCAAATATTTACGGAATGTTTTTAACAAATTCTAACATCTTCAAAAAAAGTTATTCAAGTATGTTTTTCCCCTCCTATTATTATTATTCATCCAGCATCTATAACCAATTCCGTGAATTTGTTAGCTGAATACCCTATACAATCACTGTTGTGACATTTGTGAATGTGATATGCAACACATTTAAAGTTATTCACCCAGCTGTTCTAATGAATACAATGATTCTATTTATACATTCCATTAGAAAAGATTGTAATGCTTACAGGTGATAGGAGTTGTGAATCTATATGGGAAAAATGAATATGAAGGCTAAAGATGATTGCATGCAAACCTTTAATTCCTCCTGAATTTTTTCCTCCATCAGTTTGGCTGCTTTTCGATCTTCTGTTTCTATTTTCCATTTTTCTGCCACTATTTTGGCTTTCTCCTTAGCCATAGCATCCCGGAATTTCTTTGTAATTTCAGCCTCTTTTTGCTTCCTTCAGAAAAGAATTTGAAAAAACAAAAAAGTTAGAGACTAGTCTCTAGGAAGTGAGAAAAAACTATTATTGAGTAAACACGCCTAGATTCTTCTTACTATCAGTGATACTAACTGGTTCATGTAAGAGTCTAGGAAAATACACATGGAAAAAAGAATTTAAAATGTATTTAACAAGTGAAGTACAATAAGCCTAATTGCAAGCACACACCCAAGGGACAGACATTTTCAGTCTTGGAAAGTGACTAAAAATATCACCTTCTAAAATCAGAAATTTGTTCATTGGATGTCTTTGGTTCAGACCATAGCTATTTCCTTTTCTGATGAAAACCAGATATTTCTTGTCAGCAATGCAAAGGCAAAGCAGCAATGGGATAGTGATCTGAAATCTATTCTGCCTCACACATCAACAAAGCTATCTGCTAAATTCCAGTGGCAAAATCTTTATTACTGGTGACAATGTAAAAGGCTGAGCACAGATTGATGTCTGAATCCCAAGTTAAATATGCAGCATCCACATTCAGAAACAGCATATTTTGACTCTAACTAAGAAAATCTAATAAAAAGAATAAATATGAAACAACACCACGTTGTTCCAATCCCTGTTCAGAGCATTACCACAGAGCAAGATCTGCATGGGGCCTCATCTCTCAATGCCATTGGGCATCAACACACCCTCTGACCAATTCCAAAGCTGTCATAGGCTCCATTGGAAATACAGTTAATGGCACTTTCCTGAGTCAATTATACTAACATGCAAATAAGCCACTCAGTAATAGGCTTTATGTGCCAAACTTCAGTCAGAAATTTGTATCCCTGACTACAGCAGCTATTTCTGATTTGTCATCCAAAAGCAGATTGCAAACTAAAAAACAATCCAACTGAGCAGGTAAATAGTTTAGATCATGATCAGACCCAGCCTAATCTCAACATCACTCCTACCACCAGAAGTAGTTGACATTGGTTTGAAAGGGGCATTTTTCACTAAAGAATTCTAAATAAATGAAAAAAATATGGATTTTTTTTATTACAGTTTTTCCAATAGTTGTGTCATTGTGTCAAATGGGCCATCAATTCAGAGTCATAAAATATCACCATAGTTCTTCTGCCTCCGTCTGTGCTTGTTGCCTGGCTCGTTCTGCCATTAGTTCCTCAGAAATCTGTTCATATGGCTTGTCACCTGGGGAGTCTCCCATAATCCAGACCCAGATCTCACCATCACTCCCATGCAGCCACTGCACACGTCTGTCATTACCTGTAATAGCCACCAAAACAAACATGGAAAAGGCTTATTAAGCAACTTGCTCAGGTTCAGAAACAAATATATATGAAACTGTGCTAGAAAGTTAAATCCACAAAGTAAAGGAGAGCTAAAAGGTAGGACTGAGCCCTCATACTTGGCATGCTCTACTTAGACTGTCAGTATTATGTGGCAGGGATAGCATTTTCTATAATGCTCAGTTTGTGCCTCTAGATGCTAATGTAATAGAAATAATCACGTTTGTTGTAGCATGTTGCAGAGCATGATGGAAGCTTTCCTGACAGAGCTGTGATGATAAATAGGGGTGGGCTGCGCGCATTATACCTGGCTTTCAACGGTGCTATCAATCTCATACATCTGTGAGAGCAAATAAAAGGTAACCCCATTTAAAACATTGTTGTAAACAGGCATCATCCTGATTAGTATCCTAGCACCTAATTAGTGTGGTAGCTGGGAGAAGTCAAATCTCACTGCTGTTCTGAGACTCCTGCTGCTTATTTGTGAATTTAGCAGGTTCACAGCACAAAATAGACCCCTTTGGAGTGTGCATACTCTTTTTGTGTTACTTTAGGTTTCCTGTGTCTCTGGCCTATTGATATATTTCTCATAGGCACAACTTTAATATACAGCCATATGAATCAAAATCTTCATCTCTAGAGGATGTCTTTAGAAATTGCTCTCTTTTTTCAAAGCTGTAGGTCTCTTCCAGCCCCACAGGCACCAGACACTTAAACTCTCTCAAACAGATCAGTATAATTTATCAGTTGGCGCAGCACTAATAATGATACACACATCCATCTATCAGGCTGAAAGACTATAGCATAATCTACCAATTTGACAATTTTATACATCAGCAATAGCTGGACAGCCCCTCCACAGCATGTCCAATTTTAAGTCAATTCAGCTTGAACACCATATGCCTTTAGTTTATTTTTTCTTTAGAACAAGCAAAACAACTTTTTCACTTCTAGAGGTAAAATTTAGACTGTAGGTAGAAGTGTCTCCCCTGCAAATCTGCCCCCAAACCAACATCAGTAATACTCTTCATAAAGCTGGAGATGGGTTTCTCCGTGCAATCTGATCAGAAAGCTTTGTAGTTTCTCCAAGAGCAGCATCCAAAAAGACAAAGTGATGAGTGGGCAGCAAAAGAAATAAGTAACTCAGAAAGTCTGACACTGTGAAAATGGAATTCTTGCCTCAAAGTATTTTAGCCTGCAAGTCAAGTTAAGAGAAGGCTCTAGTCTTTTAGACCCAAAAATAAGATCAATTCTAAGACCAAGAGAGGAAAGCTCGGCCAATGGTGAGGCACTCACTTAGGACTGGGTTCAATTCCTTGTTCCACTCTCCTTTGTGACCCTGGCCAAGTCACTTTACCCCCTATTTAACAGATGGGGAATGGAGTCAGATAAATTAAGTTCTTCCTAACTTCACAACACTCTTGTGAGGTAAACTACATTAGAGACTGTGAGGAGGTGCTCAGATACTACAGAGGGGCCACGTAAGTACTTAAGAGCTGAACAGGGATTCTAGAAGTGAAATTTCCTTCACTGCTTCACCTGCACAGGCTGAGTTTCCCTGCTTTGGCAATCAAGAAATAGTTGCCTGTAAGGTATGGTTATAGTTCAAAAAAATTAAATGATTTTTTTTTAATTTTTGTTTTGAGATTTCCCATCAATTAGGACACTTTTCCTGCAAAAAAAAAAAAAATGTTTTCAACAAACCCCCTTTTTTTCACATGAGAATTTTTCAGTTGAAAATTTTCAACCAGCAAAAGAGAGAGTCCCTAACTAAAAGAGCTTAAAATCTAAATCGACACAATAGAGAATTACTGAAATGGGGAGTATTACTATTCTCATTTTACAGCTGTGGATCTAAGGCACAGAGAGATTAAGGACTAGCTCAAATTCATATAGGAATTCTGGGGCAGAATCAGGAATTCAACTCAAGTCTGAGTCCCAGTCTACTACCTTAACCACAAAGTAAACCCACTCTTCATCTGCCACAGGAGGAGGTGGGGGAACCCTATTGTTTAACACATATAAATTAGACTTGACAGAACACTTGAAACAAATGTACTATTAGAAACAAACCTGCATGAGAAGGGAAGAGGACTGGATAACTTATTGGTCTATTCCATCTCTGGTATTTAGACTCTATGATTTAAACCAAGTTAGTCTTCTAAAAGTTGTTCATTTAAGGCAACTGCTCTTATCATAGCACCCCAAAAAACAGCTGTAAAGCAAAATTATGTCTACTGATGTACAGTTCTCTACTTGCAGCAGATCTGTGAAGGAGTATCATTCATGGAGTTCAGCCCTCCCCCTACTGCAAGATCTAAACTGCTTACAGGGCAGTGACATTTTTTCCTAGCATCTCTTGGCATAGCACACCAGCATCCAAAATTTGCAACACCACGGTAACTTTCCAGGAGATACAAGGCTACACTTAATATGCATGGAAAATATATATATATATACACTGATCACAAACATACAGAACCATGTCGTTTTGAATGATAGTATTTGCTTGTGCTTATACAGGAGTTTGTGTGATCTATTAACAGAATCTGTTTCTGGCTTGAGTTCACAGCAAGGAAAACATAAAACAAGGCCCTAGAGAACAAGGCTTTTGTCTATAAAAGTCAATCTCCACTGACCATGTTGCCAATCTAATATATATATATATATATATATATATACACACACACAGAGCGCTAGCAGACAGCCATTGTGTGCTTTTTAGGCTACTGTAGGCGGCACTTGGCCTTCAAACTGTTATTTGAGTATCCCTATGGTAGATGAGGGACAATATTATGGCTGAGTAGTGACAGAAGTTTCCATATTTCCTATCAGCTTCCTTGAAAGAAAAGCATAAGCACCACTTGAAAAGGGTTGGGAGGGAAGCAACCTGATTTGCAAAGAAAGAGATATCTGTCTTAAATTTTAAGACAGCTATAACATTCACACTGCAAATAAGATTTAGCATGCACTGAAATATATGAAAAATAATAGTCTTACACCGTCTCTAGTAAGTAGGGCAGGTGGGCAGAAGCGTAGTTTTCTTTTTATAGGACTTCTGGTTTATAATCTGGATTCATTTGCATGTGTGCTGCTAATTAAAAGCAGTTTAAAACAGAGGCAGCAGTTGATGGAATATTGCTGGAGTCAGCTTCCTTTATTCAGGCTCATTTATCATTGTTCTAACAATTATGGCATCCCTGACAATTCCCATTTGTTATCTATCTCCAGTTTTTGTGAGGGACCTAAGCCAAAGTCCATTCAAAGCCCGCTTTAGTGTCAAGTCTCCCAGCTATGCTGTTACTCATGAGCCACAAGCCACGTGCTTCGCCTAGCAAAGAAAGCAGGAGTGTGCAGGTAACCTTGCTGCCATTGTATTACATGGAGTGCAACAGACTAATTAAAATTATAGTTTTAAAATGTTAGAGCACCGCTGATTTAGAATCCTAGACACATGAAATGAAATTTAAACTCTGCTTAATAACCTTTTAAAACAAAGCCCTGTGTTTCCACTGATAAAGTCTAACTTCTTTGTGGTTTGGCTTCCTACCACCATGCCTACCCTGGATGGCTGCAGATGTCACACAACAGCAAAATAACTCCCCCTCTTTTGCCATTGGGAAGCCTTGTGTTCATAAAACCACTCTTTGGCCCTCATCTCTGCATAAAGTATACCTCGACCCGATATAACACAAATTCAGATATAACACAGTAAAGCAGTGCTCCGGAGGGGTGGGGCTGCGCACTCCGGCGGATCAAAGCAAGTTTGATATAACGCAGTTTCACCTATAACGAGGTAAGATTTTTTGGCTTCTGAGGACAGCGTTATATGGGGTAGAGGTGTATTTCTTTTCTCTTCCCCCCTTTCTCAGCTATAGTTACTGTGAGGAAGTTAAATTCTCCTGAAACCTATTCAGCATTTGAAATAGACTGTATCAGCATTCAGCTCTCTAGCATAGGGCCGATCAGCCTGATTTCCCTTTGTAGTTTCAAGACATACTGTAGCTTCTGGGGGATTGTTTTTGTTCCTTCCGAATTTAGATATCTGATATATTTTAAAGCACAGTCTGCGTTTTGCATAAGATTTAATCACCAGCTTTCACACACTGTTCAGAACTAATGACTTTTACATCTTCTTCAAAGGTTTCTGCTTGGATTTCAAAAAGCTGCAGGGTAAATGCTATTCCATTCCGAGTTTCACTGGCTGCAGTCCTGCCCAGCACACACATGGAATAAGGTTTTAGGATAGAAATAAAGATGCAGGGAGTTGTGGCTTGGACTCAATCCCTTATATACCCATACCTCCAAGTTCATTGCACAAGCTATTAACTGAAGTGTACGTGGGTAGGACAATAAAGATCCTCTAAAGGTAGTTTATTTACATGGTGAGAAGGTGGTGGGATGGCACTAATAAAGCTTGGGTGTTCCAGCCTTGAGGACTACTTAGTCTCTGGGGCCAGGAAGGCAGGGCAGCTCAGCTCAGCTCTGCTCCTTCCCTTCCCTATCTTCCCCCTTTTACTTTCTCCCTCTGGGCCTGTGTATAGCCCCAGGCTAATCAGGCTGGCAGCTGTTTCTCCTTTGCCAATCAGCCACAGGATCCCCCAACCAGCCGCAATTTGCCTCCTTTAATTGGAGCTGGAGTGACAGAGGGCTGGCTTAGCCGTTCCTGCTGAGCACCCTGTCACACCCATTCTTACTTCTATTTTTAGCAAGCTAGCTAGAGTACAGCTAGCACTGTTACATCTACACTGTTACATCTAGCCACTCACACCCCAGGATAAATGCTTCTTTTGGCAGCATGTACATACATGCATAGCCCCCCCCCCCCCTTGCATGAGTATAAATAGCAATGTAGATGGCGAGCCATGGCTTAGGCGAGTAAAGTCACCCCTGAAGGGTGTGTACACCAGAGTACATACCCTATGTAAGCACCCTTTGCTAGAGGGGCCTCTGAACTTTATTGGGAGGGTTCCAGTT